AGCTTCATAGACTCATCAAAACTCAGTTTCATAAACCCTCAAGTTCTAAGGAATAGACACATGGCACCATCATTTCTTGTCATGGAGTGGGGGTGGGGGCAATTGTTACCACCAGGGGAGAGTCATTTAAGGCCTTTGCTGTCAGACCCCTCTCATGGTTAAAGCCTGAAATGGCCCTGTTAGCCTGGGATGGGAACAGCTGGAATTCTCCCGTGTGGTCTGCCTCCTCAGCCCCTAAGCAGAGATTTCAACCTGAAACTACTTAGAAACCGGAAACAAAACCCTGCCTTAAACCCAAATAAATAAACAAACAGGCAAGACGCCTGCTTTGCTTAAGTTACAAGTAGAAATGCCAGAGGAATAAATGTGGGGGTAAGGAGAAAGAACTGACTCCAACCTCTAAGACAGCCCTACCTACCCCAGCATCAGCCCTAGTCTCACTGTGGGATCCTCGACCCCATTCTGAAGGTCATTATAAGCAGCCTTACAGTGAGCTCATGAAGCAAGGACAAGCCAACCATAGATAAAGACAAGTACAGAAAAGCAACCTGATATTATGGGGAAGGTACTGCACCCAAGGTAAAAAAAAAAACCCTGGTTTCAGGTCCTGGTTCTGACATTACAAGTTGGGTGAATAACCTTGATTTCCTCACCTGTAAGGTATACTGGAAAGAGACTGGATTTGAATAAGAGACATAGGTTTGATCCCTGGATACTTATTTCATTTTCTGTGACCTTGGGCATATCTTTTCCCCACTCTGGTTTACATTTTCCCAATTAGCAATCAAACAATATTTGAGGGGTTTTGTTGTTTTGGGGTTTTTTTAATTATTAATTTATTTTTAGTTTTCCACATGCACCTCCACAAGTTTTTGAGTTTTAAATTTTCTTCCCCTCCCTCCCCACCTCCCTCGCCAAGATGGTATGCAGTCTGATATAGACTCTACATATACCTTCCTATTAAACATATTTACACATTAGTCATGTTGTAAAGAAGAATTAGAACCAGTAGTAGGAACCACAAGAAAGAAGAAACAAAACAAAACAGAAGGAAAATAATCACAAATACTATGCTTCAATCTGCATTCAAACTCCATAGTTCTTTCTCTGGATGTGGATAGCATTTTCCATCATGAAACTTTTGGAGATGTCTTAGATCCTTGCATTGCTGAGAAGGCCTAAGTCTATCAAAGTTAGTCTTAGCACAATGTGGCTGTTACTATGTACAATGTTCTCCTGGTTCTGCTCACTTCACTCAGCATCAGTCCATACAAGTCTTTCCAGGTTTTTCTGAAGTCCGCTTGTCAAGCAACATTTGTTAAGCACCTACTTTGTGCTAGGCACCACCTTAGGTCCAAGGAATACAAAAATGAAATAATCCCTGCCCTCCACATCAAGAAGAACATGAACGGGAGCAGCTAGGTGGCACAGTGGATAGAGCACCATCCTGGAGTCAGGAGGACCTGAGTTCAAATCCAGCCTCAGACCAAACACTTGACACTTACTAGCTGTGTGACCCTGGGCAAGTCACTTAACCCCAATTGCCTAAAATAACCTTGATTTCCTCACCTGTGAGATATACTGGAAAGAGACTGAATTTGAATAAGAGACATAGGTTTGATCCCCAGATACTTATTTCATTTTCTGTGACCTTGAGCATATCTTTTCCAATTTGGCTCAAAGAGAGGCATAGACATCTCTAGCCTCTCCCCACCCCCCAACTCTTCTCTAAAGGAGGCGAGAGGAAACAGACAGTTGGAACTAAAGGTTACCACTCTGCTCTCCTCAGAGAGAGGGGTACTGGGCTAGAAACGTTTCCATTTGTTCCCTTAAATCTTATTAGTCTAGAGTATACAATCAGATTCAATCTAACTTCTGATCACTTCACCATTATTATCGGGAGGAAGGAGGACCCCAATTTTTTATTGACTCCTTTCCCACCAAATGCCAGTTCCACAAAGAACACATATCATGAATAGCACAGAAAACCCATTTATCCAAATTGGAAGCGAAATAGAAACCAGAGAAGGTATATGGAGAATATATACCTGACAATACAAAGTAAGGGAGCTCTGCTATTGGGAGTAAGATAATTCAGTTCAACCAAGAGCTGTACAGAACAAAGAGTTCTGTATCTCATCCAAAGGGAAACTCCCAAAGTCTCTACTGTAGCTAGCTGGCAACAGAAACATGACAGAGACTGCTACCTCTTCTCATGTTTTCCCAGAATGTTTTCATTTAGCAACGGAAAGCAAGATTGACCTCTTCCATCTTCTCCCTTGAAGCTGGAAGTCAGAAGCACCCAAAGTGACTCAATACTTGAAGACTATGAAAAATGACTTGAAGCTTAAAAAATCTCAAAAGGGACTGGCCAAGAACTGAAGCTTTTCTGCTCTCAACAACTCCACCCTGCTCTGCCTGCAGTACAGGGCATTCATCTCCACTAAATAAGGATAAATTCCCACACCAATGGACTTTGGAACAGGGAATACTTTTGTAACAATAGAACCAAAAGGAATAAAACAAATACAATGAAATTAATTGCCACATGGAGTGGAAACCCAAAGCTTTGCCCCAAAGGAATACAGTTCTGGTGCTTAGAGTCAAATTTAATTCTCTTACTTTTGTCAATAAGAACAGAATTATCTCTAGTTCTGGCTATCTGGGTGCTCAAGATCTGTGCCACTTATATATCATACTGTTGCTCTTCCTCTTCCTTTTCTCCCTTACTCTGATGTATATAAGGTATTTGTGTATTCACAGCAAGACCAGTCCTGGTCCCCAGTAAGGGAAAAGGCAGTAAACACACAGGGGTGCCCCAGTACCACTACCCTATACCTCTGTCGTCTTCTCTCTTTTTTTCCTTCTTGAAAATCCTGGGCCTCAACTTGATCTTGTTCCTTGTTCTTCACCTCTTTATGACGTTGCTTTGGTAGCCAAAACTTTATGGATAGGCCCACCTGAAGGAAACAAGCCAATTAAATGTGTGTCACATTCTTGCTTGCTCTGTCCTCCCTCTCTTGCCTTCCCCAAAGAGATAAAAGGCATATCTGGGCATCTTTCTGGGACAGTGAGCATAGAAGGGGAAAGGTGGGGCAGGGAAAATGGAGGAGGCATGTTCAAAATGATCACCTGGAGATAGAGACCTCTTGGGGGAAAGTGACATGGGAAGTGAGATGACATAAACTTTGGTAAAGATTAATAAGAAGAAATTAATTAACAGTGGGCACAGAGTCACTCTACCCATTCTCCTCCCATCAGCCCTCTCCCAGTCATTTTCCTCTTATAAGATTTCAATAGCAAGCTTGCCCACTCTTTGGGCATAAGCTCTGCCCAAATAGCAGATGCCCGCAAAGTCCAGAAATAGGGGAGAGGTGGACAAAGAAATTGACAACCATGGTAGAAAGCAAAACAGTATCGACGGAAGAGGAAGAACAAGAGCCTAGCAGGTTCAAACTACTGTAGATCCTCCACCCCACCACTGACCTGTGGGAGTCTCTGAGCAGCTGATCACTCCCTGAAGCACTGGGAGAGCCTATGTTGTATTTCTCTGAGCTCATCTGTATGGACTGGGAGTAGGAATTGAGCTTCTCGATTTGGGGCTTTCCTGAGGAAAACTGTATGGCTTTCTGTTCTGAAGAGGATTCAAAAGCTGGGAGATTCTTGGGCTGGGTTTGATTTTTTTTCCAGTAATTTCTTATGATTAAAGAATTACATATAGTTGTGCCTCAGTAAATAGCCTCAACTGAAACACAGCAGAGATAGTATTTAGAGGGGAAAGAGTTTTTCCTGAAGGGGGGAGGGAAAACATCTTGAGCCAAGAATATAAATGGATAGCTCCATTCCAAATCCTAAATTTTGAAAGGAATCTAAGTCACTATTCCTGAGGGGCAGGACCAAAGGGATGAGTCATACCAGCTGCAATAGAGCTTGAGAGAAGCCCCTGTATATGTCTGGCTGATGCATGGTTGTTTCTATGTTGTCTCCTACATTAGACTATGTTCTCCTTGAAAACAGGGGCTGTTTTTTTGCCTTTCTTTGTATCTCCAGCACTTAATACAGTGCCTGACACATACTAGGTATTTCCTAAATAAATGTTTGTTGACTTGAATGTAGCTGATACCCCAGCACTCTCTGATGCTGGATGATACACGTGATAGCTGGCATGAGTGACTGATTGACAGTCTATATTCTCATCCTTGTTACTGTGCCACTTATATGTGATACTGCTGGCACTATTAACATAGCCCAGCTCAATTCTGAGATTCGCAGTACAGTATGTGAGAGAGTGAAGAGATGAAAATGAAGCTCTAAGCAGCTTACAGCAGCTCAGCTGTGGTGGCCTGGGTTTTCCTATCCATACCCTTCAGGTGTGTGGCCTCAGCTGCTATACTTCTAAAGAAAGCAACCATGAGCATGGATAATATTTCTGTTTCCCTGAGCATCTTGTGATCTACAGTGAAGCCCTGTGCTACTTAGAGAGTACATTTAAAAGGGACCTAAAATGTTATGTTGGTGGACTTATCCATCCATTCTTGAAATCAGTTTAGAAGGGAATTCCAGCTATGATGACTGCCTGAACAAGCAAGCAGCCCAGCACCCACATATCTACTGAAGCAAAAACCTAAAAACAGCAACAAACTAAATACTGATTAGATTAAGAAATCCAAGGAGAAACTACAGTAAGTGACTATATCCATCCATGAACTGCATAAAAACATCAGCCAGGAGTTCAGGAAAATAGGAAAGAGGGCTTGCCAGAAAAGCCAGTATCAGCAAAGACAGTCGTCAGGAGCCTCCCAGAGCTACCAGAGACAAGTCAGAGTCACCTGTAGCCATTAAGTCTTTGTATTCAGAGGCAACAAACCTCAAGATGGTAGAAAGCACATGGCATGGACCTGGGAAGCAAACAGGCATAGAATTAATCAGTTCAGGAATGGCAGCTCTCAGATTGGTACACCTCAAGCCCAAGGACCTCAAGTTCCTTAGCATTTTGTCCTGAGATACCACAAAGGAGAGAAAATTAGCACTCCCCTTGTTAAAGATGGAAGAGGTCCTACTGCTCTTTATAACACATATACAGTTAAGGCAGGCCTGCACAACATACAGCCCATGGACCACTTTGGCGCACCACAAGCACCCACAGGCTGTATGTTGTGCATACCTAAGTTAAGGCATTACCACCTACTCTATGGCATCTAACTATGTTCTGGGGACAGGTAGGTGGCACAGTGGATAAAGTGTCAGGCCTGAAGTAAGAAAGATCCCAAGTTTAAATACAGCTTCCACTTACTGGCTGTGTGACCTTGGGCAAGTCACTTAACCCTGTTTGCCTCAGTTTCCTCCTCTGTAAAATGAGCTGGAGAAGGAAATGGCAAACCACTCCAGTATCTTTGCCAAGAAAATCCCAAATGGGGTCACAAAGAGTTGGACACAACTGAAATAACCAAAAAACTGCAACTTGAAAACAAGAACAAAAAACATAGAGGACCCTGGTAGGCACTGAACCTCAAAAATCCAAGGAATCCTAAACCTACCAGAACTCTTTAAAAAAATTTATTTTTCCCCAACTGCATGTAGAAATAATTTTTAACATTCCTTCTTTCCTTCCTTTTTTCTTTCTTTCTTATCCATTTTATATCCCTTAGTACTCTCTATATCTGTTTGATCCTAAATTCTTCCCTTATCCACAGATTTGATAAGTAAACTATTCCATGCTCCTCTAATTTGCTTATGGCATCACCCTTTATGTCTAAATCATGTACTTATTTTGACCTTATCTTGGTATATGGTGTGAGACGTTGGTTTAACTTAGTTTCTACCATACTGTGTTGCAGTATCCCCAGCAGGTTTTATCAAATAATTTTTTGTCCCAAAAGCTTGGATCTTTGGCTTCACAAACACTAAATTAGTATGGTCATTTGCTAAAATATATTGTATACCTAATCTATTCCACTGATCCACCACCTATTTCTTAGACAATGCCAAACTGATTTGATGATTACTATTTTGTAATACAGTTTGAGATCTGGCATGACTTGGCCACCTTCTTTCGCATTATTTTCATTGGTTTCCTTGATTGACCTTTTGTTCTAGCTCTATAAAATAATTTTTGATAGTTTGGTATAGCATTGAATAAGTAAGTTAATTCAGATAGAATTGTCATTTTATTATATTAGCTTGGCCTACCCATGAGCAACTAATGTTTTTCCAATTATTTATTTGTGTGAAAAGTGTTTTGTAATTGTGTTCATATAGTTCCTGGGTTTGTTTTGGCAGGTAGACTCTCAAATATTTTATAATGTCTACAGCAACTTTAAATGGAATTTCTCGCTACTGGACTTTGTTGATAATATATAGAAATGCTGGTGATTTAGGTGGGTTTATTTTTTATCTTGCAACTTTGCTAAAGTTGTTAGTTCAATTAGTTTTTTAGTTGACTCTCTAAGTAAGCCATCATATCATCTGTAAAGAGCAATAGTTTTGTTTCCTCATTGCCTATTCTAATTCCTTCAATTTTTTTTCTTCTCTTGCTGCCATAGCTAGAATTTCTAGTTCAATATTAAATAATATTGGTGATAATGGGCATCCTCACTTCACATCTGATTTTATCAGGAAGGCTTCTAGCTTATCCCCATTATAATTGATTCTTGCTGATGGTTTTAGATAGATACTACTTATCATTCTGAGGAAAGCTCCGTTTATGCCTATGCTCTCTGGTATTTTTAATAGCAATGAGCCTACCAGAACTCTTAGCATAAACATGCATGAGGAGGTGCAGGTCAGCGTAGAAACTCAGGTGACTGAGGGAGAGTCCAAGCTTTGCAAACCATCCTATCCAAAAGCACACCAGGGTGCAGAGCCTGGTCCCAATACAAAGACCCAATTCAGAAATTAAGGCTGGAGATATGAGCAAACGAAAGACATTAACCACAATAAAGAAGTCTGCTAGATCCACAGATAACCCAAAATACAACCTATAATAAAAAGGCAACCCCACAATAACTGTAAGCAGAGACTAAAATGAAAAATTGGGTTTTCCACAAGGACTAAGTGAATGCCCAGACAAATGAAGCAAGAGGTTAAAATGAAATAGGAGCTCTGGAGGAATGAATTAGAAGGAAAATAAATAACAGAACAGAAAGTGGTAAACATTATTTTGAAACAAAGCAGATGCCTATCAATTGGGAAATGACTGAACATTGGTTGATGTCATTTTGGTCACATCTGACTCTTTACGATCCCATTTTGAGTTTTCTTGGCAGAGATACTGGAGTGGTTTGCCATTTCTTTCTCCAGCTCATTTTACAGATGAAGACACTGAGGCAAACAGGATTAAATAACTTGCCCTGGGTCACACAGCTAATAAGTGTGTGAGGCCAGATTTGAACTCATGAAGGTGAGTCTCTCTAACTCCAGGCCTGGTGCTCTATCAACTATACTATCTAGCTGTGGCATATGAATTTAATGGAATTTTATTGCTGACTAGAAATGAGAAATATAAAAATTCAGGTAAACATAGAAAGACTTTTATGAGCAAAGAAAACAGAAACAAGACATAAGATATATATACACATCATGTTATACAGAAATATATAGATAGATATGTAGCACAGATATACATATGCAGCATGTTATACAGAAATATAGATATATTATACATATGCTACAATGAAACATATATATGCTACAATTAAGTAGATAGATGGATACACACACTACAACAAAGCAAATCAAAACAACACTAAAAGAACTCAGACAATAGATGTTGTCTAAACTTGATTAGAGGAACTAATGAAACACACTTGCCTACTCATGGTAGTAATGTGGTCAACTATACCTTTCAGATTATTCTATATACTGTCAGCTGTGGCTTCTTTGTTGGTTTAATATTAATTATTTTCCATTGGTATAAGAGGTTTATATGAAGGGGATTTGAGAAGTTGTTGGGAAGTGAAAGTGACATTAAAAAAAAAAAAACAACAACAACCAGAAAGCATCAAGAAAAGTTGTGGGTTTTTTTCTTAAATGTTCTTGTTCTCTCATTGAAAAGGTAGGGGACTATAAATATAAAACACTGCATATCCTGTTTGGACTCAGTTAATGTGTTTATTAGTTTTTTTAACAAGGATTTTTTTTCTAATCTTTTTTTTTTTTTGGTATGAAGGACTCCATGAACAAGGAGATGAGAATATATTTGGAAATGACAGCTGTAGAAAAAAACAAAACATATTCATTTAGTAATTTGAAGGGATGTGATGACATGTCCTGAAGATTTGGCAGCTTTGTCAATTACTCACTATATAATCATGAGTAAGGCACATTATAATAATGGTTTGTAATTACACAGCATTTAAAGTCTAACAGAGTTCTTTATACAGATTATCTTATTTGACCCACTTAAACTCTCTAAATTTCAATTTTTCAATCTGTAAAATGGAAATAATAATACTGTCATTACCTATATCACATTATTGTGAGGAAAGCAGTTTGTAAACTGTGAAGTACTATACATTTTGAAGTGGACAGGGCAAATTTTTTGTTTCAAAGCTGTGATTTGATCCATTTGGGCAATTGTCAAATGAGGACACACCTGTCAGAGCTGACAATTTATTGTGTAAGAGGGTTGTTTGAGGTGCTCAAAGTTTAGACCTGCCCGGAGTCACCCCATCAGTGTGCGGAGGGGAGGGAATGAGCATTTATTAAGCACTCCCTATGTGCCCAATGCTGTATTCAGTGCCTTATAGTATTAACATATTTTATCTACACAACAAAGGTAGGTGCTATCATTGTCCCCATTTTATAGTTGGGGAAACTGAGGCAAACCAAGGTGAAGTGACTAGTCCAGGGTTACACAGTTACTAAATATCTAAGGCTGGATTTGAAATCAGGTCTTCTTGACCCCAAGCCCAGTGCTCATTCACTAGGCTATTCACATAGCAGTATGTATCAGAGACAGATCTTGAACACTGTTCTTCCTGACTCAGAGCCCAGCTCTCTAGCCAGTATGTCATATTATAAATATTGGACAGGGATAGGGATTCAACCTGGAATTTTATTGGTATAAGGAATGTGTAGATGAGGAAACTTTTTCTCTCTGTCCTATAATACTGTCTCCTCTCTACAAGTTATAGTCTTAGAGAGTTGTCCAGAGTGAAGGTATTAAATACATACAGCCCACAAGGCTCCTATGTGAGGGGAAACTAGATAAAAAGTAACTGGAAAATATTTAACAAAGTAAATAAAAATACAATATAACAGATAATGTTACTGTAAGATTTTCTAAGTCAATATGGGACCTTCAAGGATCCTAATGTACAATTTAATGACCTCTTTTTCTACTTGAATTTGACACCAGTGACCTGGAGCAGAGATGTCAAACTCCAGGCCCCCTGTAGCCTGCAAAACTACCCAGTGCAACAGGAAATAAATTAAATTGTAATTGGGAGAGGGTGTGGAGCCAAGATTTAAGAGTAGAAGGAAGCAATGTAGCTGAGCTCCCATCTGCAACTCTTCCAAAAAACTATAAAATGCACCAGACTAAATCCTGATGGAGAAATCCAGAAGTCCCAATGAGTCCTCTGGTCCAAGTCAGCATAGGAGGACAGAGAGGTCTGCAGACACTGAGGACAGGACCAGGGCAGGAGCACTCCATAGCCCAGGGAGAAGTTGCACACTAGCACAAAACAAGGTTGCCGACCTATACTAGAGCCCTCTGAGACTCACATTGGGACACTTTGATGGGGACAAGTACCAAATTGCAACTTTATTTCCCACTGCTTAGTGGTAGCAGACCCAAGGCAGAGTGAGAAAGGAATCTTCACACATGCACAACATAGGGAGGCCTTGGGCTGGGCTATGTACCTAAAAAGGGTGAAGTTCAGAAACCAGCAGCAGCAGTGATGTGGCTCAGACCTCAGGTCCCAAGCAGGGTCTCACTTGAAGCATCTAGCCCAGCCTGCAGAGGAATAACCAAGACAAGAATCCCAGACCAAAGACAAGCCTACAATTCTGCCACTTTGAACCAATAGAGCTTTCCAGCTGGCTGATAGGAGTAGATTCCTGTAGCAGTCTACTCTTAACACACCCAAACCCAGGAACTTGCAGAGTTCAGACCAGGGGACAA